CTTCTGGGTCACCATTTCTTACCTAGCAGAGCAGCTCCCTCTCTGTGATCTATTGAAAGTCAGCCCTTGGCACAAGCATTTGTCTCACTTCCATCCTCTCCCTTCCCGGGGGACTGCCCACCCACTGCAGTTGAGGAGGAGGAGGGGGAAAACTGTGTGGTGGCAGGGCGCTGACAGCAGCATCAACGTGCATTCTTTCCGTGTCTGGCCTGGTGACCATCGCCTCCTTTCCCGGCCCCGCCAGGGCCTATGGGCCCCAGGCTGGGAAGGGGAATCAGGGGTGGGTGGCGGTGGGCGTGGCCACTTTTCCAGGAAGGCCAAGGGCCGACTCCCTCCTCGGGGCCAGTGGCCAACCTCCCATGGTCCCTTCCCCCGTCCTCCCAGCCCCGGCTGGCAGGCCCTGATCAGCACAACCCTGATTGCCAGCCAGGCCTAGGAACCCCACCCATGCACAAATTTGTGCACTGGGCCTCTAGTCCTATAAAATAAAAGCCTAATATGCTGCAACACCCTCCTTACTGGTCTGTGCCTTCAGTCTGACCTTCAGTCCTCCCTCTGTGGCCAGATTACATAAGCGTGATGCAGTGCAGATCTGACTACATCATTCCCCTGCCTAAAGCAGTCCAGTGGCCCCCTCATCTCTTCCAGGATAAAGCACATACTCCTTAGCAAGACACACAAGGCCCCACCCCACTCTAATCTGGCTCCTGCCTACTTCTAACCTCATTCCCTCCACCCACCACACTCTCACAATTTAATCCACACAACACTGCAGCTCACTAAACTACTAACACAACCTCTGCCTGGAATCCATCATCCCTCTAGAAAGCCTTCCTGGACCAGACCTGGCTGGATGAGGTGCCCTTTTTCTCAGTGCCCAGAGCCCCTCCAGTACTGGACTAGCCACAGCTGATTTCTTACAAACGTGCCAAGGGAATTCATAATGGAGAAAACAGTCTTTTCAAGAGATGGTGCTGGAAAACTGAATATCTATATGGGGGAGGGTGAATGGACGTTGATCCTTACCTCACACCATGCATAAAAATTAATTTGAATATATTATAGACCTAAACAAAATGCTAAAAATATGCAACTTTAGGAGAAAAGCTTTGTTACCTCACCTTAAGATTTCTTAGGACAAAAAAGCATGAAGCATGAGGGGGAAAAAATTGATAAACTGAACAAAGTGACAATTAGAAACTTTAGCTTTTTACCATTAAGAAAATAAAAAGACAAACCACAGACTGTGATGGGCTTTCATTCATTGCTAGTGGTAATGTAAAATGTATAACCACTTTGAAAAACAATTTGAGAGCTTCCTATAAAGTTGAAAACACCATAAAAATCAAACCATCCCATTCACTTATAGGCATTTTATCCTACAAGTGAAATGGACATATACACTAAGTGGTCAGATAAGTATCATCTCTGAACACATAATAATCTGGCCACTCACTATATATATAATTGAGGCCTAGTGCGCGAAATTTGTGCACAAGGGGGCGGTGTCCCTCAGCCAGCCTGCACCCTCTCCAATCTGGGACCCCTCAAGGGATGTCCAACTGCCCATTTAGGCCTGATCCCGGTAGGAACAGGCCTAAATGGGCAGTCAGACATCCCTCTCACAATCCAGGACTGCTGGCTCCCAACTGCTCATCTGCCTGCCTTCCTGATTCCCCCTAACCACTTCTGCATGCCAGCCTGATCACCCACTAACCACTCTACTGACAGCCTGATTGGCGCCTAACTGCCCTCCCCTGCAGGCCTGGTCACCCTTAACTGCCCTCCTCTGCAGGCCTGGTCACCTCTAACTGCCCTCCCCTGCAGTCCTGGTCCCCCATTAAGGCCTGCCCCCCCCCCCCAATTCCCCTTCCCTGCAAGCCCAGTCACCCCCAACTTCCCTCCTCTGCTAGTCTAGTCACCCCTAACTGCCCTCCCTTGCAGGCCTGGTCCCTCTCAACTGCCCTCCCCTGCTGGCAATCTTGTGTCCACATGGGGGCAGGATCTTTGACCACATGGGGGTAGCCACTTGTGTGTTGCAGTGATGGTCAATCTGCATATTACTCTTTTATATATTTTTTAATATATTTTATTGATTTTTTACAGAGAGGAAGAGAGAGGGAGAGAGAGTTAGAAACATCGATGAGAGCAAATCAGTTGCCTCTTGCACATCCTACTGGGGATGTGCCCACAACCAAGGTAAATGTCCTTGACCGAAATCGAACCTGGGACCTTTCAATCCTCAGGCTGACGCTCTATCCACTGAGCCAAACCAGTTTCGGCTACTCTTTTATTAGATAGGATAGAGGCCTGGTGCATGGTTTGCCCTGAAGGGTGTCCTGGATCAGGGTGGGGGTCCCCTTAGGGCGTAGGCAGCCTGAGAGAGGGCCCTGTGGTGATTTGCAGGCTGGCCATGCCTCCGGCAACCCAAGTAGAGGCCCTGGCATCTAGGATTTATTTATTTTCTATAATTGACACTTTTTAGCCTTTAGTGGAGGCCTGGGCCAGCCAGGGTGTGCAGAAAGCTTGGCTTCCTCCATCACCTGGGAAACCCAAACCTCCTTCCTGCTCTCTGTGGCCACAGCCATCTTGGATTAATTTGCATACCTGCTCCTGATTGGCTGGTTTGTGTGGCTTGCAGAGTGATGGTTAATTTGCATATTAGTATTTTATTAGGATATATTAAAGGCCCCTTGCATGAATTCGTGCATGGGTGGGACCTAGCCAGCCTGGCTAGGGGGAGGGGACATGGGCAGTTGGCAGTCTGCCTGGTAGTTGAACTGCTGGTGGAGGAGACAATTTGCATATTAGCCTTTTATTATATAGGATATACACCGAGTGGCCAGATTATTATGCATTCAGAGATCATAATAATCTGGCTACTCAGTGTGTGTCCACACAAAAGCTTTATGGGGATGTTCAAGGCAGTTTTCTTCACCATCAACACAAATGTCCTCCTTCGGGGTCCTGAGGAGATACCTCTCTGCCAGCCCAGCTGAGTGTCTCCCAACCCCCCAGTGGATAAACAGCTTGTGGTATATCCGTACCATGGAATACTACTCACCAGTGATTGCCTACACACAGCATATGGATTCTCAAAAGCATTATGCTAAGTGACAGAAACCATGCCCAAAAGACCACATCCTGTATGGTTTTATGTATATGATATTCTAGGAAAACAAAGTGTAGTGCCAGAAATCAGATGAGTTGTTAATCTGAAGCCAGGAAAGAGAGAGGAAGAGAAATTAACTGCATCCAGCTGGTGTGGTTCAGTGGTTAAGCGTCAACCTATGAACCCAGAGGTCTCCTTTTGATACATGGGTAGGACCCTTGCCGGGTTGTGGGCTTGATCCCCAGTTTGGGGCATGCAGGAGGCAGCCTATTAATGATTCACTCTTATCTTTATTGTTTCTCTCTCTCTCTCTCCCTCCCTCTTCCTTCCTCTCTGAAATCAATATGTGTGTGTGTGTGTGTGTGTGTGTGTGTGTGTGTGTATTATTTTTTAAATACTTCACTGCAAAGGGGCAGAATGGAAACATTCTACATCTTGAACCGGACAGTTGTTAGCCTGGTGTTTTCACTTGTCAAGTCATAAAACTCTGTAAACAGTACTTTAAATTTCTGCTATTACTGCATGTAAATAATATCTCAATAAAGCAGTGTTTTTCAACCTTTTTTGGGCAAAGGCACACTTGTTTCATGAAAAAAATCACGAGGCACACCACCATTAGAAAATGTTAAAAAATTTAACTCTGTGCCTATATTGACTATATATAAAGTAATTCTCTTGAATAGGAATCAAATAAACACAAAGAAAGTATTTTATAATTACTTTATTATGAAATATTAAGTAAACAAAATAGTGAAAAATTATAAAATTCTTGTCTTGTCTGCACCTACGGCACACCAGGCAACATCTCGCGGCACACACAGCGGTTGAAAAACGCTGCAATAAAGTATTATTATTTTTTTAATATATTTTATTGATTTTTTACAGTGAGGAAGAGAGAGGGATAGAGAGTTAGAAACATCAATGAGAGAGAATCATCGATCAGCTGCCTCCTGCACACTCCCTACCAGGGATATGCCCGCAACCAAGGTACATGCCCTTGACCAGAATCGAACCCGGTACCTCTCAGTCCGCAGGCCGAGGCTCTTCCACTGAGCCAAACCGGTTTTGGCAAGTAGTATTATTTTTTTTTAATTATTGATTTCAGAGAGGAAAAGAGAGGGAGTGAGAGAGCTAGAAACATTTTAAAATATATTTTATTGATTTTTTTTTTTTTACAGAGAGGAGGAGAGAGAGACAAAGAGCTAGAAACATCGATGACATCAATCAGCTGCCTCCTACACACCTCTTACTGGGGATGTGCCAGCAACCAAGGTACATACTCTTGACCGGAATCAAACCTGGGACCCTTCAGTCCTCAGGCCGACACTATCCACTGAGCCAAACCGGCTTCGGCAAGAGAGCTAGAAACACTAATGATGAGAGGGAATTATTGACGGGCTGCCTCCTGCACGCTCCCTGCTGGGAACCTAGCCCCCACCCAGGCAGGCATGTGCCCTGACCAGAATCTAACTGTGACCTCCTGGTTCCATGCTCAACCACTGAGCCACACAGGTCGGGCTAAAGCAGTGTCTGTTTGTTTTGTTTTAATGTGAGGGCTGCTGGGGAGCATAAAGGAGAACATAGGTGAAGGGGTTCTGCTCCAGATCCTTCAAAAGAAGAACAACAAAAAAACACACACATTGATTTTGGAAGGAGGGATCTCCTCAGCCAAGTCAGCCTCACCAGGAGGCTTGGTGACATATTCCCCCGCCAGGGGGCGGTGTCGTAGTCCCCCGACCTCTCCGTTCTGTCCCTCAGCGGCGGGCGGGGGGAGTGACCCACATAGACCCCGGAGGCCACGAGCCCACCGGGGCCGCCGCCAGCCGCGGGGTGGGGTGTGGTGTGTGGTGTGGGGGGTGAGGGTGGGGGGTGAGGGTGGGGGGTGTGGAGGGTGTGGGTTGGGTGTATGTGGGGAGTTCTCTCGCGGCAGAGGGACCAGGACCAGGACCAGGAGGGGGTGTTGCAGCGCCGCGTCCTGTGCCCCTGGCGCATCCCTCCTGCAGGCATCGCCCGGCAGCCCCCGGGTCCGCATCGGAGAAGGCGCCTGGCTCCCGGCTCTCAGCCCGGCTCCCGGGCGGCACTCAGCCCCGGGCCGCCGGGGGCAGGGGGAGCCGGGCCCGCAGGACCTTCGGGCGCGGGCGCCGGGCGGCAGCGGCCGCGGTAACGGGACCCGCGCGCTGGCTCCGCGCCCCGAACCAGGCCGGCGCCTCCGCCCCCACGACCTCCTTCCACCAAAGCAGCCGGTCATCGGAGCCGCACCTCCCCGCCCCCACAGAACTGATGTTTCCATTTTGAGTGACCAAACAAGGGTGGCCCAGACTAACATGGTTTGACTGTCCCCGGTGCTCCGGGGAGGGGCCGCTGGGGGATGAGCTGGGATGGGAGAGGGGACGGAGCGGCACTGCCCCGGGACCCGGCCCCGCGGACCGGACCCTCCACCAGCTTTCTCCCCCGGGCCGCAGCCCGAAACCCCGGGGACACGGCCACAGCTCCCTCCCCCGGGCCGCAGCCCGAAACCCCGGGGACACGGCCACAGCTCCCTCCCCCGGGCCGCAGCCCGAAGCCGACCCGGGCGGCGCGCTGGGGCAGCCCCGCCCGCAGGCTCCTGGTCCCCGGCCCGCTCCTCCTCCCTCTGCGCCAGGCACTGCGGAGCCAGCGGAATCCCCGGGCCCTGCAGCCAGGAGGCCTCCGGACTCCGGCCCTCCGGTCCCGGCGGCTCCCGGCCCCACCCCAGGGCGGGCTCCCGCCCCCGAGCAGACGCCGTCAGCCCCGCAGGTGCAGCCCCGAGGCAGCCCGAGGGTGAGTCTCAGCTCTGGAGGAGTTAAAGGAGGTGGAAGGGGTGGAACCAGGCCGGGGGGAGGGGGTGGGGTCAAGCGGGGGGTAGGTATCTAATTGTTACCGCTACTGCCTTCTCTAGCTGCCAAGAGACAGGCAGATGCTAGAGCCAGGGAGATAGGCAGGGGAGCTATGGACGCCCAGGTTCTCGCAGGCAGCTTGCCCCAAACCGCGCCGCGGGCCGCAGCACGGACTGGCCCAGGCTAAAGGAGACAGGGACCTGCGGCGACTTTCCTGGGGAAGGGAGGAAGGGAGGCTGTAGGTAAACTCCACTTCAGGGACCCTCTCCAGTTATGGGCAGGCCTTGACTCCTCTCCAGCTATGGGCAGGCCTTCGTGGTCGGTTTTGGAACTTGACTAGCACTTCCCCATCTGTAAAATGGGAGTGTAATGCTACCTCCAGGGTCCCTGTTAGGATGAATCCAAAAGCCGCTGCAAAGTGCCGAGCAGGAAGCCTGTGAGAGCAGCTGGGTTCACGTTGTTTTTGCAGAGAAGAATCTCCATTAGGGCCCCGCGGGATACACTTAGGCCAGGCTGCCCTCCTGCTGTCAGCGAAAGGGGCACCCATATATTACTGGCCATTGGGCCTGGGTTCAGCAACCTTGGTGTTTGAGTTCTGGCTAAGAGGATTCAGAGCCAAGGCTCAAACTAGAAAAGAACGTTTCTCTGGAAAGTCAGGGAGGTAGGAGAAGGGAGCTGCAGAAGACATGGGCCCGAGCAACAAGTTGTAGAGGTGAAAGAGGGGCCTTGGAGCTTAGGAGACAGAGAGTGCGGAAAAGGCGCCTGGGGAAGGATGCCTGGAGAGAGCCGTGCCGGGTCCTCTGGCGTGAGGGCACTTATCCAGAGATCTCAGGTGGATCCCAATAGAATATTCACCAGCTTTCCGAGTGTGTCCTTTCAGGGTCATGGTCTCTACTGATTGGCAGGGGTTCCTTAGTCAGTGCAGCTGGTCCTGCTGTCAGCCCTGGCCTTGCTGGTCTGGTTTTGCTGCCTTTCTGGACCTGGAACTGAAACCCCACTGAGGCCTAGATGTTATCCTTGGGGTTAATGCTTTAGGGAGTGGCCATGCAAGGGCCTCCCTGGGCGTCCCATGAAGTCACTCTCCCACCCCATGTTCCTCCTCCCAGGGGGTCTAGACCATATTAGCGACATGCCAGGAAAGGTTACCCTGGGGAGGTCCTTATTTTTCCAGTTTTGCCCATTGCTAGGCACCCAGGGTCCTGGGGACCTTCTGTACGTAGCCCACGGTCCTCGCTCTGCTCACGTCTGTGTAACTGCCTACCACACTCCTACAGGAGGAGAGAATGGCCTCCTTGCCCAGGAGTCTCACCGGGGCACCGACAAGAGCAAAAGCTCTGACATCAGGGATGTTCCAGGCAAACATGCAGGCCAGCGCCAACCGCGCTTTGGTGGGTGGCTGTCTGGGCCTTTGCATGGGATGCACACTCTGGCAAGGACGATGGCAGCTGTCCTTAAGGAGGGGATCTTTCACTGTCATCCTTCACCACAGACACCTCTGCCTCAGGGAACCACTGCCAAAACTATTCACAAAGCCCTGGCCCCGTGGCTCAGGTGGTTGAATGACATCCCATGCACACAGAGGTGGCCAGTTTGGTCAGGGCGCATGCCTGGATTCGGGCTGCATCCCCGATATCGGTGCGGGGGGCCACCCAGGAGGTCACCAATAGATATTTCTCTCTCTTTCTTCCCCCCCCCCCCGCCTGTCTCTCTCTCTCTCTCTCAAATCAATAAAAACATACTTTAAAAAAAAACTATTGACACTGCAAAACTCCCCCTACAGAGCAGAGTTCCCATTTTGCAGATGGGAACTGAGGTCACAGACGGTTAAGTGATGTAGGCCAGTTCATCGAGAAAACTTACTCTCTTCCCCTCTCCCCTGTGTGCTAACGCTCTGTTGCATTCTCTGTTAATCAAAGGGTAAGCATGGTCCGGGGACTGCCAGAAAAAGGAGGCAGCCACGGTCAGACCATCCAATGCTGCCAGGGTGGGGCTCCCCAGGGTATTTTTCGGCCCAGAGTCCAGGTTAGAATGAAATGCAACACCAATTAGGAACACGGGCTCAGAGCCACCCTCTGCCCCTGGGTGGACCCCAGGGTCTGGAAGGAGATCTTGGTCTTGAGGGACAGTCCTTGCACGTTTCCAGTGGGAGAAGAGCCCTTTGGCTGTTGCGTAAGGACCACCCTCCCCCCTTCTCCAATATTCCCGCCCCCTGCAGTCTTTAAAACCTGCTCCAGTCCCACCGGCTGTTGCGGCTCAGTGGTTGAGCAATGACCTATGAACCAGGAGGTCACCTTTTGATCCCCTCTGGGCACACTCTCAGATTGCAGACTCATCTCCAGTAGGGGGCGTGTAGGAGGCAGTCTATTGATTATTTTCATCATTGATGTTTCTCTCTCTCCTTCCCTGCTCTCTGGAATTAATAAAAATACTTTTTAGCTATAGCTAGTTTGGCTCAGTGGATAGAGTGTCTGTCTGCGGGTCCTAGGTTTGATTCTGATCAAGGGCACATGCGGGGTCTCAGGCTCCATCCCCAGGAGGAGCGAGCAGGAGGCATCCGATCAATGATTCGCTCTCAGCATTGATGTTTCTCTCTCTCTCCCTCTCCCTTACTCTTTGAAATCAATAAAAATAAATAAAAATAAAATTTTAAAAAATATATATTTTAAAATATAATTTATTGATTTTTTACAGAGAGGAAGAGAGGGATAGAGAGTTAGAAACATCGATGAGAGAGAAACATGGATCAGCTTCCTCTTGCACACCCTCTCTGGGGATGTGCCCGCAACCAAGGTACATGCCCTTGAAGGAATCGAACCTGGGACCCTTCAGTCCGCAGGCTGACGCTCTATCCACTGAGCCAAACCGGTTTCGGCTAAAAATATATTTTTTAAAAACCTGCTCTGCCTTAGCCGGTGTGGCTCAGTGGATAGAGCCTCGGCCTCAGTCCAAAGGGTCCCGGGTTTGATTGCAGGGCCCTGGTTGGGGCTCCCGCAGGAGGCAACCAGTCGATGTGTTTCTCTCTGTCTTCCCTTCTCTTTTCCACTCTTTCTAAAAGATCAATTGAAAGATATCCTCCGGTGAGAATAAACAAAAATAAAAGTAAATAAAACCCTGCTCCAAATGCGGGGTCCGGAGAAAGGGTGGAGCCTTGGACCTGCCGCCCTCCCCAGGGAGCAAGGACCCAGCATCTTTGTGACTAACCGCGCGATGGGTACCGTTCTGGACCCTCCTCATCCCAGCTGCGTCCCCGGAGCCACGGCGCTGCGCTCGGTGGGGCGGGGGGAGGTGGGGCGCCGGGAGCGGGGGCTCTGATCCGGCCCAGAGACCCGCGTCCGGGCCCCCGGAGGCCCCCCGGCGGCCCCCCGGCCTCCCGCCGCTCTGATGCCATCTCTCCCCCAGCTCCCCGCTCCCCGGCCCGCCGCAGCGGTTTCCTCCTCCCCGGACCGCACGGTCCCTCCCCGCCGAGCCTGCGCGGCCCGGCGCCATCCATTCATTCTCAGGCTCCAGCTCCACAGCCTCGGAGGCCGGCCCGCGCCTCCTCCCCTCCCCCGCAGGAGCAGGACTCGGACCCGGTGCCGGTGAGTAGTTGCCACGCCTCCGGGGTGGCCCCGCCCCGGGGCGCCCTGCGGGAAGCAGCCACCAGGACCACCTCTGCAGCCAGGCCCGGGCCGGGCAGCCCGGGAGCAGCGGGCTGGGCTCGTTCTGCAGAGCACCCGCACTTGTTCAATCCAAGCCCGCTATGCTGCCACCTCCTCTACTCTGTCCTTGACCCTGGCCCCGCAGAGGGCCTATCCAGGAGGACTCAGCCGAATCCGGACGGATCCCAGACCTGGGGGATGTCAGTCACTGAAACTTGTCTGAAGGCCCCAGCAGTCCGGTCCCTGCACCGCCCAGGGCAAAGCCTGGCACAGGGTCCTGCGGAAAGGGAGTTAAGGGAGGGCTTCTCTGGGTCCCGGCAGTGGAAGCAAAATAGATAATCAAAGAAACCACTTGTGTTTGCTTTTTACAGCCATTTCATCTTCACAACAGCCCTGAAGCCGGTGCTGTTGTTACCCTCATTGTATAGCAGGGGGAAAATGGGGTTCAAAAGAGATTAAATGCTCTTCTGCCATGAGCAAGTGACAGCAAGGATTTGAAGCCGGGTCTAGGCGATGCCAAAGCTGGTTTTAGCTCCACGTTATAAGCACAGCCAGCAAAGCGAGCGATGTGAGCAAAGACTCTGAAGTGAGAAACAATGCAGAATAGAGGAGGGGCCGATGCTGCTGCATTGTATGGAGGGATGGTGTTTTAGCGTCCGTGCCTTTGTTGAACATTCGAGTTGTTTGCACATTTTGGCCTTTTTGAATAACTAGAGACCTGATGCACGAAAATTCGCTCAAGAGTAGGCCTTCCTTCCCCCGGCTGCTGGCACCGGCTTCCCTCCTGCACCTGACCCGGGCTGGCTTCCCTCCGGCTTCATCGGGAAGGACATCCAGAATGATGTTCAGAAGACATCCGGTCTATTTAGCATATTATTCTTTTATTATTATAGATGCTACTATAAGCACTGTGTATAAGCTTAGTGTGGGCACAATGTTTTCATTTCCCTTGGTACACAGCTAGGAATGGCATTGCTGGTCACACGGTGGCTGTATTTAACGATTAGCGGAGCTCCCAGACTGTGGGGCAAGCGGCTGTACGTTTTTCACATCCCCCCAGTAATGTCAGAGGGCTCTGAATTCTCCAAATCTTGACCGACGTCTGTTGTGATCTGCTTTTTTATTCTAGCCATCCTCCTGGATGTGCAGTTGTTTTGATTTGCATGCGCATGTTTTTTTAAGATCAGAGAAATCTTTTCCAGAAGTCCTTCAGCAGGCTTTCCACCAAGTCCCGCTGGTGAGAACAGTATTAAATACACCTTCCTGCACCGATCAGTAACAAAGGCTGTGGATGACCAGTGAGGAC